TTTTTTTCAGTTTCTGTTTTTTTAAGAGGAAATAGTCAGACAATAGAAATAATACAGAATTTCACTAGACAAAATTATAGAAATTCAACAGTGGTTGTTATATATTGTCTTTGAATTAGTTGTTCAGATTACTAGATACAAGCATACACAATTGGTCAAAAAATTAAAAAAGCAAAGAAAAAATGAGCATTAACTGCTCCTTGCAGAGAACCGGCAGGAATGCACAGGTCCAGCAGCCAAGCCGGCCGTGTCATACGTGTATGTCTCCCTCTCCCTCACCCAGTCACTCCCGCCCTTTGTCTCTGATAGCAGAGTTGTATGAAAGGAGGGTTCTCAGGTACAGATGAAAGGAGAGACGTCTCTCTAAGGCAGTAAGGTGATCTCTGCCTGTGGGGAAAAGCGTGGTCTCGCTAGGACGCAGCCAGACCCACTGCTGAGGTCGCAGCCTCTGCAGTGCTGTGGACACAGAGGATGCTCACTGAAGGTCTGCGGCGTGCAGGCAGACAGAGGTGGGTGGATGGAGCCTCCCGGGAGGCGTGAAGGACATAGTGCAAGAGCAACCCAAAAGAGGCAGGTGTCACCCGCATCTACTCACTCCACAGATTTATATCGGTCACATCGTACCACTGGGCGCGGCGGATACCGACGGCCGCCTGCGGTCCGGCGATGAGTTGGTCTGTGTGGATGGCACACCAGTGATTGGAAAATCGCACCAGCTCGTGGTTCAGCTTATGCAGCAAGCGGCCAAGCAAGGCCACGTCAACCTCACAGTGCGGCGTAAAGTGGTGTTCGCTGGTATGTTTCCATTCATTCCTCAGACGGTGCGCTGTCACTTTCGCGTCTGCCTCCTCAAGCTTCTCTTTTAGCAAATGTTTGCAAATGTGATCAGGCTCAGAATTTCCAGATGGTTTGCTTCTCTCCCAGCCTGCAAAACTGCTGTCATTCAAAAGTACTCTAATGTGCAATCTGCGTCTGTTCAGCCGGGCGTCTAGGAGGCTGTGGACTGTGTGTAGCCTGCCTCTCACCCAATCAGAGCTCAGCCTCTCTCTGAGGTTATGATCATGCTCAACAGAAGGGGTCATTAGAGACATCTGAAAAGTGCTAGCTTCAAATTCAGTTAAAAAATAGATTTGTACTGTAAAAAAAAAAAAACCTCATGGGAAAAATCTTGTACCTGCTGTTCAAGGTATATGTGAAAACCGAGCTTTCCTTTTACCCCTCCTGCGAAGCTAGGGCGAGTGTGGTCATCTTCCTGCCTGCTGTCTGTCCGTGGCTTGCAGCCTAGTTCTCGAGACACCACCCCCTTTTAGGAGGCTCAGGAAGGACTGTCCTCGTCCTCCCTCCGGAATTCTCTCCTTCCATGCACTCCCTTTGATTTAAAATTTTTGGCCATTCTTGGGGCTCATGATTTACTTCTGTATCAGAGTCCACCATCTGAGATAACTAATTGTGTGAATGCCTGCACTTTCTGCTGACTTACCAGCTTCCTAAAAGCTTGTAACTGAATTTTGCAAATTTGTATGCTGTCCCCACCTTGAAGCCTGCAAGACAGAACCTAGAATGTAGCAGAAATTAAGTGTTGAATCAATTGAGGTACTGAAGAAATACGAAATGAAATATTATGAACTCTCCATAATATTAATATTAGTGCAATGAATACCTATCAGATATAATTAATTGGTAACTTATTAAAAATAACTAGTATAAAGCCTGCTTAAGTGATATATAATTAGTTACCCAGTTAACATATTAAATAGCAGTGTGAACATCCTGTGTACTCCAGCCATGGAAAACAGTGCCAATCGACCATACCTCATGTCCCTGGGCTCATCAGTGGCCTCTTTCATGCAACAGTGGCAGTAAGCTAAAACAGCGTTTGGATTTTTTAAAAATTTTCTTTAAATAATTTTATTGAGAAACAAATAGCAATGAGACAGTTTCAAAACCAATTAGTAGAACAGTTTCAACAATTAATACATTTCATATTGTTGTCTTCTTAGCGGTTATTCATAGTACAAGATGCAGACATGATATCCTGTCCAAACACTATTAGTACAAATCTTTCTTCTCATTGAATTAAGAGAGAGTAGCTGTATATCTATCCTATTTTGAATGTACAGATTCAAAATGGTCCTTCCTTTATATCTCCCTTTTTTGTTTAGTTTTGTCAGAGGTGGGTATTCCATTGCCATTTAAATATTGTATTGTAGGTGCATGAATTCAGCAAAATAATCCCATATAGTCCAGTAGTCCATAATAGTAGTGGGTTATCTGTAGGACTGGCAATGTCAGAAGTTGTTGACTTGAGCCTTTTACAGCTCAGCATATTAATATGGCTTTACTTTTTATACTTCATAAAACAGCATTTTGAGATGAGATGAAAGTTATGTGACTTCCAGGACCCAAGTAAAAATCATAAGGCAACGTGGCTTCTTGTGTTAAGCCCATTTTTGAGATCTCAAAGTCTCTGAATTTTGAGTCCAACTTAAAGGGCATGCTAAGTCTAAGAGTGTCTTAGGCTAAGTGAAGCAAGCCAAGGCCAGCTCCTTCATGACCCCCCCACTTTCTTGGGGAACCCAGAGTAGTCAGAGACACACACTCTGGGACTGTGGAGGGGAGATGGGAGGGTTGTTGAGTGGGCAGGTCAGCTGAGAAAGATACAGAGTTCTGGGAGTGGTGCTGGTGGCTGCACAGCGGTGACTGCACTTCAGGCCCTTGCACTTTCCCAGGCAGGTGCTTGTACCATTGAACTATATCCCCAGCTCGGTGCAAATGTTTAAAGTGGTGAAATAAATGTTACTCATGTTTTTCCACAATATAAAAACATCACAAAAGGAGAAGCTTGGGGAAATAGATACAGCCTTATTTGCAACCAGGACATGGTACACATTTTGATGTTGGCGTGGTTGGTTCCACTTCCTCTGTCGGCTGTTGGCACATTCTGAAGCCCACTGACAAAGCAGTACCTGGAGTTTTTGCTGAGAAGTGGCCAGAGGGCCAGTGCCTGTAGCACTGATCAGAGGAGAGCAGCTGCCTGTGCCCCTTCCACGTGTGGCCCCGAATGTCACACAGACACTTGCAGATGTCACAGCAGAGCTGGCAACACCTGAGCAGAGGGGATGACACTTCAGACGTGTGGCTCAGACTGCATCTGTGAAGCCAGGGTAGTGGCAGTCACTAGCGTAGCCGGTATTTTTGCTTGGCAGAAATGTCCTTCTGTGCAGTGGGACCGTGTCATTGTGGGTCAGTCCTGCTACAGTCCTCAATCTGAGCAGCCCTGTTGGCAGGTGAGCTGCCTGAGGGTGTGGGTGCCCTCCTCGGGTGTCTGTGGGACCAGCATTTCTGGATAGTGGGCGCTGTGGGGAGCGGGTGTGGCTCACACCTGTGACCCACACTCTGGGAGGTGCAGACCAGGGATTGATGCCTCGCCTGTGCAGCTGAGAGAGAGCCTGTCTGAAAACATTACCGTTCTAGTCAGGGCCTCGCCACGGGGTGCCTTGGGGGTGGTCCTGCGGGCCCCGTCTCCTGAGCCGCCTCTGTTGCAGCACCCAAGCCTGCAGAGCCCGAGGTGCCGTCACCAGCGTCCTCACACCACAGTGGCACGCAGCCAGCCTCGCTGGCCGAGGGCAAGCGCACACCGCAGGGCAGCCAGAACTCCCTGAGCACCGTGAGCTCGGGCAGCGGCAGCACAAGTGGCATCGGCAGCGGGGGCGGTGGTGGCAGTGGCGTGGTGAGCACCGCCGTGCAGCCCTACGATGTGGAGATCCGGCGTGGTGACAGCGAGGGCTTCGGCTTCGTCATCGTGTCCTCGGTGAGCAGGCCCGAGGCGGGCACGGCCTTCGGTGAGTGCCGGCGCGGGCGAGCAGGTGGGCGGTGCCTCTGCGGTGACCAAATGCAGGTGCACCTGCAGCCTTTCCTTCTGAGGTGGCGTGTGCCCAACTCTTGGGGCCTTCATTCTGCGTGGTCATGCACGTAACTTCAAGCATTCCGGAGACTTGCATAAAACCTGACTAGCAACTCCTTGACAAGAAGGAAATCTGAAATTTTTGCAAGAGACAGATTTTGGAGAGGTCCCAAGTAATGTGTCATTCAGAGAGAACCCCCAGAAGGCCTTGAGAGTTTTTAGACAGAGCACAGAATGTAGAACTGTGACATGGAGCCTCTGCCCACCTGGCCTGGGCCCCTCTCTGGGCCTACAAATGGTTTTAAATTCCTAAATACTGTTTTTGTTATTGCCTAAGAATCTGGCTGAAGTCAGAGTTCACAGCCAGCTGACTTTGGGACACATCTAGATGTTGGGGTTTCCACAAAGTGTGGAGAAACACAGTTGCCGTCTGAAACCTAACCCTGTGGAGTAAGTGAGTCTGGGTGGCTCAAAGCCGCTCGCTTGCCTGCCCCTCTTTCCCATTGCAGTGGGTTATAGATGTAGACTCCACCTTCCCAATTAGAGTTTTTCTTAAGTCCGTCTCCCAAGAACATTTGCTTAAGGGATGTGGAAGGTGATGGCAAAGGGTGAGGGCTGCTGCAGGCTTTGACACTCATGCTGGTGACCTGACCACGCTGCCTCCTGACTAGTGCTCTCTGGCTACAATCATTGGCCACATCCCCATGCCATTTGCCTCCGTTAACCTTGCTAGCCAGCTTCCTGCGCAAGCTGTCCCCCACCCCATCCTTGTCTGGGAGGGGACTCAACCAGGGCTGTGCTGTGTGGCTGCAGTGTTGCACCAAGACTGAGGTGCTTCTGCGAGCCACACTCACAGAGCTGTCACAGTGTGGGCGACAGGCAGGAGGTTTTGTTTTGTCTTTTAAATTATTTCTAGAAACTTTTCTGCTTACTTAAAAAGAAAGACACTTGGCTGGGACAAGAAATTCCAGGTCTTTTCTTCAGACCTAGAGCTTAACTCTTGCTGGCCTTCATGCTCTTAGTGCTTTAGAATCACCTTCGGCTTCTGGGAGGAAAGAGCAGGTGTGCGGGTGCAAAGCCTTGAGCCCCGGATGGAGAGGCCATGATGCGCTCACACTTTGGTCCTTGTTGTCTTTCGGTTTTCACAATCAATGAATCAAACTCTGCCAACCTCACATGGGACCTGGGAGCTTTCCACATACCTGCTGTTTCGTCCCCTCCTTGCGCCAATTGTGCTTGGAAATGCATTCAGCTCAGTCCAGATCTGGAGTAGATGCGGATGCTTCCTGCAGCACCTATTTGCTGAGTTCCAGTGCAGTGTTTCCTTTTTGAGCCTCTTTGACTTGACGGTGCACCCCGTGCCAAAGCTCAGGCAGACCTGCCAGCATTCAGAGCGATGCTGGTGCCTTTCCCCACACACTGCCCTTTTCAGGCCTAAAGTATGATGGAAGAGTCTACTCACACAGCTCTTGTCTCCCACGTTAGCTTTGTAACCCTCTTAAAGGGCCTTGGCTGCATAACTCTCTCATAATTCCCAGAAAGTTCTCCAAAGATGAATGCATGTAAGAAACATGGGGACAGTTTCCTAGAAACCCCATCAGCCTTAGAGCCTCCTTTTCTTGCTTCTGTAGCAGTCAGCAGCACTGGGGAGCATATGAAGTTCGCATGAGCCAGCTCTGTGGAGCCTTTCTGATGGAGCTCCACAGCAGAGCTGGCAGTGACCAGTGATCAGAAAGGAGAAGGGCGATGCGAGCCAAGCTTTGGTCGGGGTCCACAGCCCAAACTGTGCTAGATTTTCACATCCTTTCAGGGGATTGTGTGATGCAGGAGGAGGAATTCAGAGCTGAGGACCCCAGCAGCCCTGCATGATGGGCTGAGAGAGCAGAGGTCCTGAAAGAAACTGTGTCCAGGTCACGTGCTCACTTGGCTTGCCTCCCATGGTTATGCCCTTTTTCTAATAATCTGAATTTTTTTTTTTTATTTTTTAATTTTTTTGCGGAACTGGAAATTGAACTCAGGCCCTTGTCTTTGTCAGGCAAGCACTTCTACTGAGCTATCTCCCCAGCCCCTTGCAATTTTTAAATAGAAGGTGTAAGTTCATTAGATGATTTTGCGTTGAATCTCTAGTGCCAGCAGACTCCTAGGTCTTACAGAAGTAATGATTGCTTTTGTAAACTGAGAGCGAAATGTTGGGAGAAGCTTCAACAACAGCTGGCAGAAGTGAAGGGACCTGAGCACGGGGGGGGGGGGGGGGGTATGTCCCGCCCTGGCCTTGGGCTTGTGGTCCTCCCCTAAGCAAGAACAAGTTATTTGGGGCTCGTAATACTCTTTGAAATTGCCAGGTATTCCAAATTTTATAATTGTTTTAAGGAGAGAAACTGGGGTTCACCCCTCATTTTGAATCAGAAAAGCACCACAGCCATGAATTTGAGTTTCGGGCAGTGGCTTCTTAGACTCTCAGTATTGCCAATGTTTTGACAGTGAGCACAGAGCTCTCCTTGAATAACATTTGCTTAATGCTTAATTAACACTTAACCTTCTCTTTCCCTTTTCAACCCTTTTTCTCCTCCCTTCGCTGTATTCCTACGTAACTTTAAAAAATTAAACTCAATATCAAAGCAGGCAATGCATGTGTGGCTATGCCTCACAAAATAGGTCGGATTATTGAGGGAAGCCCTGCTGACCGCTGCGGCAAGCTGAAAGTGGGAGACCGGATCTTGGCGGTAAATGGATGCTCCATCACCAACAAATCCCATTCTGACATTGTCAACCTAATCAAGGAAGCAGGAAACACAGTAACCCTGCGCATCATTCCCGGGGACGGTAAAGTATACCTGTTGCCTCTTTCTCTCCTACTCTCGCTGTCTGTCTTCCTCTCCCCTTTGTTACTGTTCATGTAAGTGAATAGTGTAGACATAAGGGCAGCTTACCGTCCCTCGCAGAACAAGCGCCGCAGGCCAGCGCACGCCACTGTTACTGAGCTGTACCTCACCCTCTTCTCTGATTGCTCCTCTAGCCCTATCACCCGTCTTGCTGCAGACATAAAAATGCCAGAAAATCCTCAGCTTTCCTAGTATTTTTTTTTCTTTTTTGGTGTCCTTGTGTTCAAAACTGTAACATAGTTTTGACAGAGATAGTAAAGATCCTCTGATGTCCTAGCTGGAAATCATCAGTGATTCTTTTCAGTCATTGCTATTAAAGTATTATGGTGATAGCACAGACCTACCTACTGGGGAAAGCCCACGCTGGTTTTGGTTTTTCTTTTCAAAATAAATGAGTAAATCAAATTTTTATTTCATGAGAAACTTTTGAGATTTGTGCCTACTTGATCTGTTCCCAATATTCAGATATAGATGGAGAAAGAATGAAATGTCCACATTCATGGTAGATAGTCCCACAGTGAGCTGGGCCTATTCTTTTCTGCCTGTTTGCTTGGCTGGTTACATTCAGATCTCTGGTTTTCTGACTGCAGTGGCAGTTCTGTCCCCAGGACACTTGGCAGTGTCTGCTGGGGGGCTGAGCAGTATGGGGTGGGGGTAGGCCAGGAATGCTCCCAAGCACCCTGTGTTACACAGAACAGCCCCCCACAGTAAAGTACCTTGTGCTAAATATCAGCATTCATTTTAGCATCCAGTTGTGCAAACTTGGAGGTTGATAGGCCAATACAAGCTGTTTAGAGACTTAAATTCCAGAAGTTACTTCATTGTAGGTTACCTTTGCCCTTGGGAGGCATGCAAGCTTCCCATCGCTGTGACAGTGTATGTGAGCGAAACAGAAGGTGCACTTGGGCTCCCAGTCCCACAGGTCTCATCCATGGCCAGGTGGCGCCATTGTGTGGCGCCCCCTGGCCCCCTCTCTGCCCTTTGTATGTTGAGAGGTGAGTGGAGAGTAAAGCACGGCGACGTCTGTCCTTTTGAGATGTGTACAAGGGACAGATAAAGCAGAAGAACAGAAAGAGGGTGTGCAAATAGGTGACTGCCAAATCCGTATTGAAGCTTGGCCAGGTCGAACCAGCCTTGGGGCGCTGTCACTGTCCCCACATTCTAGGTGGGAATCAGGCTTTTATCAAACAGAAGCAGCTGGATTGAGCCAGGCTCACTTGGAATCAGGTTCAAGGTAGTGAAAGTATTTATGAGCATAAAATATATATTAAATAGTGTTCTTAAATTTGGCCTTCAGTCCACTCTCAATGAAAGCGTTTCTTATGCAGGAGGTAGAACTTGGCACCACGATACCACATTTTCCTTGGCGAAAGCATCTCCCCACACTCTTCACACATTTATAGCATTGACACTTTCCAGTGTTGCCTCCAGATATTTACTACATGTATGTTCACACGTTAAGGTATCTATGAGGAAAACAGTGTCATTTGTTGATGTACTTGCTTTTCACTGTGAACTCTAAAGATGAGGCTAGAACTGAGATCCCTTGTGCAGAGATGGGGAGGCGCAGGGTGGAAAAAGCTGTCACCACAGCAGTGCCGTTTCCGCACAGCCCCAGCCAACGTGGCGAAAGCCAAGGTGCTCCTTTCTGATGCACAATTGCTAGAAGTGTGTTAATGTCCAGTTCATTCCTCTGGGAGGGCTACATAGATATAAACATTGTTTCATAAAAGATGTGGAGTATTTTCTGGAACTTGTCTAAAATTGGTCAGTCTGCCCATCTGCCTTGTTCACTGTGGTGGTACAGTGGCGAGCTGCCTTCCATCTGCCTCAGAGTCCCGAAAGTCAAGGGTGTTGGTGCCCTAGGTGATGCTGCTCTTGGAAGGCAGGAGTCTGAGCAACGCTTCTTTTACAGTGGGTTCTTTTCTGTCATCCAGGGCAAGTTTTGCCTTTGGGATAGAGCTATACATTTTTTTGTAATGAGCTTCATCTCTGTATTTGTAAAAAAGCATTTAAAGCAGATATAATCTTGGTTCAATGCCAAATGAAGACTCAAAAGTTTATGAAAATAAGCCTAACTTTATTGATACTATGAAAACGTACTAGAAATCAAAGGCATGCTGAACACTATCTTGGTTCCGTGAAGGTGGCCTGTGAAATCCTGCAGCGATAATGCTTAATGAAGTTCGTGAACTTTAGCAGTAAAATAAAAGCATGGCTCATTTGAAGGGATGGTTGGCTTGGTGCCAGCAGGTTACGCCCACAGAAGGGGCCACAGACCCTGTCCGTAGCTGCTGAGGTCAATTCCCTCCACCAGCACATGCCTCTGGGGTGACCTTGGACATGTCAGTACCGCCTACATGCTGCCTCGGTGTCTCTGTCCAAGCCGGAGCAGTTACTGCACTCGTGTGTGGAGCGGTGGGAATCGTGAAAGAGTGTGGGTAGAGAGGGTCAGCACTGTGCCTCACGGCACACTAGAGCTGGCCCTCGAGGTAGCTGGCTGCAGACCCAGAAAACGGGAGCCCGAGGAAAGTTTAGACCTTGAAGAGATGTTTGCATATTAAATGTTAATTTTTAAAAATGCTTGAAGTTAAGCTTCACCCCCAGATAGTTTTGTGTGTAAATATTGGAAAAATAGCAAATGAAAGATAGGAGAATTAATAACGGCACTGTTTATGTTTGTATTGAGTGATTATCTGTTATATTTCATCAAGTCATGAAAGCAGCACAAATACAAAAATTGTTTGAGAACAGGATTTGATCTGCTTAGAAAATTCCAGCTACAGAAACACACAAGAACTGTGAAGACAACCTTTACCCAACCCAGAAGCTGTGGTCACTTTAGTTACAAGGAAACCTTTGTGGTGTCTTGGTTATGGTTCCCCATGGCCCAGACAACCTTGTGATTCCCAGAGTCTCCATCCAGTTAATTAAAGTGGATACCGTGAAGTGCATTAAAGGACCAGTGCTTGTGCTTGTAAACAGTCTGACAGGTCACGGTGATGGGCTGTGGTGATGGGCTGTGCTGTCGTCTGTCCTGGACGGTGACAGAGGGGCGGGCTTTGTGACACACCTGGAAGTGGAGCCAAGTCCTGCCAGCTGACTGCCTTTGAGAGCCATAAAAGGAGATAACAGTCCTTCCAAAGGCACTGAAGAACAATAGTAATGTGCTTTCAATGTAATGATGAATATCAGAAGAATGCGAAGTATTGTGTCTCACTTTCTTCTTGGATAGTCTCAGTAGCAATTCACTACCTTCTTATGCCGTTCTCCTTATGCAGATATGGAAACTGAGGCACTGAAAATTCAGTGATTTTGCATAAGTTCTGCCTGTCCAGTAAATTATAGAGCTGAGGGTGGAAAGCAGAATGATCCAGACCACAGTCTGATCTTGAAACCCCTGGCTTAACCCACTTCCCAGGAGTCTTGAGAGGCAACGCCTCCCCACATCAGAGGGTCACAAGGCACACGACCCAGAAATTCTCCACAGATTCCACAAGAACAGCAAAACAGAGACCCTTGGGAGCCGTTCCTTTTGTCACCCAGAACTTTCCAAGCTTAATTGGCCATAGGTTCTTTTGCTTCAGAATTTATAGAAATATTCAGTAACACATTGTGAGGAACATTGTCCTAAAATGTGAATAGATTTTATGGTAGAATTCTCTTGATCTAGCTATATTTTCTTATTAATCTTGTGTCTTGGCTATAGGGAAAACTGACTTTTATCACTTAAGTAGAAATTATTAAAATTCTATTTAAATTTTTCATGTCATAGAGATCTTAAAGTTAAGTCCCCACAGTAAGAAACCAAAAAGCCTCAGTGCTAGCAAGACCCACAGCTGCAGTGAGTAGCACTGAGTGCTTACTGCGTTTCCAGCGCCGTACTAAATATTTCCTACGCTTTAATCCAAGAAAAGGGGATTCCTGTCATCCCCCTCCTTTATCAGATGAGAACAATAAGGCATCTAGCTAATGAATAGGGGAGAGGAGGATTGGAACCCAGGCCTGCATCTCAAACCCGTGTACGTAATGAAGATAAAATAACAGGAAGCCTGACTCAAGTGGAATAATATTCTTACAAAATTACAATGGAAGGTGGACCACAGTCAGGCTCTGTGGGAAGTCTCATGTTCTAAGAGTGCAGTGGAGAGAGAGAGAGAGAGATTCCAGGTTTCCCACTTTGAAGTACGTAAAATGTTTTCTCATAGAAAACCTGCTTGTTTTTTTTTTTTTTTAATGAGTAGATACACGTATTCAACAAACATGAAACTGTTAACATGAACCCTAGGACACCTCCAAGTGTACTGCGAATTAAATGAGCACCCAGCCACAGCGGTTAGCATATTGTTGGTTAGAAAATGCACACCACGTTCCAGGAGTCCGTTTCAGTATTAGCAGTGGAACTGGCGTACAGCTGGTTACTACCTGGCTTGATCTTAATGGGGAAATAATTAGAAAATGCACGTGTAACCATCACCGCGTGAATCGTTGTTCTGATACATGAACGTGGGTGTGCAGTCTAGTTACACATCTCAATATTTTCGCATTCCACATCTCCAAACTTAGAGATTAATGAAGTTGCTGATGAATGTGGTTAGTGAAGAAGAAAGTCAATTTACATAGCAACATAATCACATTCATCACATTAAGGTGGCTTTGTGATCTATGTAACTCACATTTACAAGCTCTTATTTTCTAAGCCACATTTTAAAATTAATCTTTCATGAGTGATGCTACACGAGGCCCGTTAAGCAGCCCGCGTCCCCTGCGCCTCAGTGAGGGCAGGGAGAAGCAGCGGGTGGTGCTCGTGTGTCTCTAACAAGATCTTGCCCACTTCCGATCTTGATGTGATAGTCACACGAGAAAATTAAGCTGGCTCGTTGAGTGTTGGCTGCCAACTTGCAGGAGGCTGACAGACACATTTTCTGGGAAGTGACTCCAGCGTGGTGTCCTGCAGGGTAGGGGGCCTCTACCTGGCACCTATGTTTGCGCCATTCTAGAGCAGCACAGCCTTGGCAGACCCTTCCCTTTGGGATAGCCTCTAGTTGGGAGGGGGCTGTGGGCACACGTAGCCTGGGTCAGCCGAGACAGAGTGGTCCGTTAACTGCGTGGAAATTCAAGTACAGCTGTTTGGACCGGGGACAGAGAAGTCAGATTGGGTGCTAGACCTGGGCCTTCTGCCAGGGAGAGTGTCTCCTCTGAGGCCTTCGCTTCCTTATGTTCCACCCCGCAGAGTCCTCAAACGCTGCCTTGCTGACCAACGCAGAGAAGATCGCCACCATCACCACCACCCACGCCCCTGCTCAGCAGGGGTCGCAGGAGGCCAGGTCAGCGTGGCTTTGGTTTGTGAGGCGAAGGGGGAGCTCGTGGCTCTCGGCCGAACACCTCTTGATTCTTCCCCAGTACTGGGGAAGTTGGGTTGCTGCTGTATCTCTTTCTCTTTCTTTGGCAGGAATCCCACCAAACCAAAGCCGGAGTCTCAGTTTGAGTTCAAAGCCCCGCAGGTCACACAGGTGAGGGCCGTTTCTCCGCTTTTGTTTTCTTTTTTGTGTACTTCATTCATTTCCTTCCAGTTTTCTGAGGCTAGGCTAGTACAAGAGATTTTTAAAAGACATCCTTAAAATAAGTAATCTTATGTGCAATGATACCAAATACACGCTCATATCTAATTGTCTAGGAAACGACATTGCATGTTATTGCCTTTAAAAACTATTCCTAGATATCTCTCCTAGGGTAAAAACAAAATGACATGCTACCATAAGGAGCAGTGACGAGAGCAAAGGCTCGTCAGATGCTGTCTGTGACCTTAGTCCTCACAGCACCTGCCTGCTGAGTGCGGTGGCTCGTGATCACACTCCCCGCACCCGGGAGGCTCAGGCAGGAGGGTCGCATGGTGAGTTCCAGGCCAGTGTGAAACCCAGGCTCAAGAGCCAAAATGTGCTTCTGTCAAGAAAGTCTTTTTTTTTTGATAAGGTTTTTCTCAGGTTTGTGAGTTTCAGGTGAGACAGAGAGAACAAGCCACCTGTCAGTGTAGCAGTCAGGGTTGTGCAGATGATAGCAAAAGGAGCAGACTGGGGAAATACCAGGCGCTGCAGCTCTAAGGAGGTCATCATCCTTTTACTCACTTCTTGGAGCCTTTGTGGTTCACTCATGCTCCCAGCCACAGAGATGGGAGCCACTCGCAGACTGCAGAGCTAGCACAGCCAGCCTAGGCTGGGCCGTGCTCACGGCCACAGGCCAGGAAGCAGCCCAGCAGCAGGTGTGCATGTCCTGTATGTGCAGGCATTCACAGCATGAACATTTCCAAACTCTAGATCGCCAGCTTCTGAGATGAACACAGACTAAGGAGGATGACTGATAAACGATGGAGAGCCACCACGAGGGTTCTGGACAGTGTACTTTTTTGCCAGGTTCACATAATAGAGAATGTTTGGGAAGAGATGAAGAAAAATGTGTGTGGACATAAATTCTAGAATTATCAAATACACTGAATGTCTTTAAACAGGAGCAGGATTTTTACACTGTGGAACTGGAAAGAGGAGCGAAGGGATTTGGCTTTAGTCTCCGCGGAGGTCGGGAGTATAACATGGACCTCTATGTTTTGCGCCTAGCAGAGGATGGGCCTGCAGAAAGATGCGGAAAGATGAGGGTAAGTTGGGAAAGGAGATGGGTAGACCAGAGTCACCATCGGCAGCAGCTTCTTGGCACGCACGTTAGAACGTTCATGTGCCTAAGAATTGCATTTTCCACAGTGCTTTACAATACTCCCCCGCTCCCCGACGGGATAGCTCTTCCCAAAGTATTGTTAGGTGCAGCTGCTAAATTTGGGTGGATCTTGGAAAAGATTAACATCACTAATAGATGCCTTGAAGTAGGTGTTCTCTGAATGCGTCTCCTTAGACCTGGTGCTTCCCTGTGGCAGACGTCACTTCGCAAGAGCCCTCAGTGCTTGTGTGCTCGGGCAGCAGGAGAGCCCTGTGGTCTGTCGGTGCTGGGGTGAGCGCTGGTTGTGCCGCAGCAGTTGCAGCTGTCTGCCAAGGATCCGAGACAGCACCCTGACCCCCTGCCTCAGCAAAAGGACAGCAACTTCAGGGCACTGATATTTGGAGTTCTGTGCAGTAATCAAAGCTGTGCATTGTAAATACTCAAATGCCAGAAGCAGGTTGCTCTCTCGAGCCGTGTGGTATCTGTTGCCATGTGTCATTCTCCTGGGCAAATGAGATGATTAGGGAAAGATAAATTGTCTCCTCAGTACAGATAAGTCACCTAGCCTGAGATATATGCATGGGAAGCCATTCACAACCCATTTAAAAATAAGAAAGGAAGGAAAGTGAATTAAGGTGGGCCTGAGCCGGAGAAGAAAAAACTGACCAAGAGTGAGGAAGTCCGTGTTGTGCTGTATTTGTGCTAAGGCACAATCTTGACTTTTAACTTTCTTCAGACTGAATTTTTAACAATGTTTTTCTCAGCTGAGGAACCACAAACAGCATGTTTCAAACATGAAGCAGTGCAAAATGGCGCCCACACGAGAATACAGCGTCTAGGACCACGCAGCGTAGTGGTTTCTGTGTGCTCCGCCGCCTTGCGTCTGCGTGGGGAAGATGCTCGGTGATGCACATGTGCACACATGCTGCTTTTGCTGGACCTCTGGGCCCACAGCTCTGCGTTCCGTGGCCCTGACTCACGCTTGAGCTTCTGACTGGCTGGAACGAGGCCACCACGCAGTGCCCAGCAGCTGCCCCCGAGGCACTCGCAGGTGCTCCTGGCAGCACAGCAGAGTGGGTGGGCTTCGCCCTTCTGCTGACGAGGAGACAGACCCCGGAAAGCGAGGGGCCCACGTGAAGGAGAAGCGTGCACTGCGACACCAGGGCTTCTCCTCTCCCCCTCTGGACTCTGAGCTCCACCTGGGCAGCAGCCGGGCCTGTCTCACGCACCTGCTTCTGCCCAGCACGCACAGCCCCGGCTGAGCCAGCAGGCGCCGAGTTCACGTGTGAACAGGCCGTGGGCTCCTGAAGGCCCCTGTGTAAGGTCACAAGTGGCTCCTCGGGTGGTGCCTGGCTGCTGGCCAGAGCCCCCGCTCATGTCTTGTCATGAGGCTCCAGTGTAGTGTTAGTTTTCGTCCTAGGACAGAATACCTTAGGAAAGTGAGCTTCACGGGAAGAGAAGTTTATTTTTAATCATAGTTTCACAGGTGTCAGTCCACAGTTCTCTGGCCCCATGTTTGGTGGTGAGAGACCCCCTGTGGAGAGTGTGTGGGAAAGCCAAGCTGCTTGCCGCAGCAGCTGGGAAGCCAGAGAGAGAGAAAATGGGTGGGGCCTCGGGATCTTAGGGCCAAATCCTCAAGACCCAACATCTCCTCAAGGCCCAGTCACCATCTGCACCTTGGGCTGGGGACCAAGTGATCAGCACAAAAGCCTAAGGGCTGGGGAGATAGCTCAGTAGAATAAGTGCTTGCCTGGCAAGCACAAGGTCCTGAGTTCGGTTCCCGGTACCGCAAAAAAAAAAAAAAAAAAAAGCCTTTCGGGGCTGCTTTCAAAGCAGAGCAGGCTGTCAGCCACGCACATCAGAGGGAGTGTGTGAGGGCAAGTAGACAAATACTGGGGATCGAACTCAGGACCTTGCGTGTGCTGGATGAGCGCTTGTGCTGCTGAGCTTGTCTCCCCAGATCTTCCAGCTGACGCCTTAGGACATCCGGGGGTTAGAAAAGAGTCGCTGGAAGGGTGAAGGAGGCAAGGTCCCCAGAAACCGCCAGGCAAGGGTCCTCCTGCCCTGGCACCTGATTCCTTTTAGTGCCTTCCTTTCTTCCTTTAGCACTAAACGTTAACATATTTATATTTTTCTAATCTTATTACTAATTGTGCTTCCCTCATTGTAATCTAATCTCCATGAGATTAGGGATTTCTGTTTGTATGTTTCATTGCTGCATCCTAAGCATTAAGACGTTTTCTGGAATGTGCTTTATATTTGGTAAATAAATCAGTGAAAGAATGTTTAAATCGAGTGGACCACCAGAGCTGTCACCCGCTCCCTCTGTTCTCTCTTCGCCTGGCAGATTGGTGATGAAATTCTGGAGATCAATGGCGAGACCACCAAAAACATGAAGCATTCTCGGGCCATCGAGCTGATTAAGAGTGGTGGCCGAAGAGTCCGTCTGTTTCTGAGGCGGGGAGACGGCTCGGTCCCGGAATATGGTGGGTCAAACTATGAAAACATTCCTTCCTTCCCTGGCATGACTCCATGAATCTGTCTCCAGATGGCAGCAGACAAGTCCTTTCTGTCCCCTAATCACCAGTGTCTTACCAGCCTCTTCACCATGTGATTATTCGCCTCGCTTGTCCTGAAATCTCTGCACATTTCATCCTTTTGCTTGCTTACGTGGACTGGGGCGTGGCCTGAGACCAGATCCTGGTAACCCCTTTCTGATAATCAGAGAACACGCTGTCTAGTTCGACCGAGAGCGAAGGAATGTTTGAACTGTGCCAAACTGTTTCTCAGATCCAGTCTTAGCACAAGATGACTTATACTTCTTTTAAGAAGCAGGAAAGCAGGTTTCCTGAGTGATATGTTGAGGCACAATATATATATTTTTTTCTTTTTCGGTTACTTGATATATCTATTTAAGAGATGTGAAATTTCCAGATGATTCAGGGCCTTGCTTACTCTGATGCTCTGGGTCCCGTATTCTCCACCCCTGCTGTCTCTCGCCCCATCAGATGACCCGAGCCCACTGCCGGTGGGCAGGCACACGCAGACTGTTGCTGTCAGCCACATTCCCAGCGCTCACCGTGAGGGAAACGTGTCGCTATACCTTTCCTGTGAGGAAAGCCAGGTTATACATAGAGTTCCTTTTCATCTCTTTAGACATGATTTGAGTAGGCAGAAATGATCTTTACATAGCTTAGTGTTCTGATGACAAACTATTGTATATTATAATAATTATGTCCTATGAAGAATCTTGTTTAAATTTTAAAAATAAAAAGGAAACTATGCCCTAGATGTAGGGCTTTTTTCCCCAACCAAAGGTCTACAAAAGTTTCTATAGAAACTGATTGAATGCCCCCCATATACATTGGTCCCCTTTATTAGGGATTTATCTGTTATCACCCTCTTTTCTGAAAGTCGTTCTGCACAGCTCCCAGTTGCATTTTGGACCTGATGTGGTGCTTAATGTAGGTGCAGTTTAAGGAATATAGCTCCTTAGAAAGGCAGCCTTCCAGGTGTCAGACACTAGTGCAGGTGCACGGCACAAGGGGCCAGGGCAAGGGGGAGGGCATCAGAAAAGGCGCTGCAGATGTGGTCCACCTGGGAACCACGGCGACCAGGCAGGCTGCCTGCCGCACACTGTGCTCCACCCTGACCCCTGGGTGTACTGCTGCCCTGAAACTGTGTAACCGTATCTCCCCTTTCTGTCTTCCCCTGCTTCTGTCGGATGTGAGAACTCACCTGCGAGTCATCACCTGTGTACTTTCTCCAAACCTGTGTCTGTTGCACTGAGGATGAAAATCCAACACTAACCAATGTTCTCTGGGCTGAAAATAAAGATCATGCACATTGCTTTCCAAGAAGGGTTTAACATGCCAGGTTGCTCTGCTGTACTGTTTCCATGTGTCCTTTGGACTAAGTCTCTCATCCCATTGATTAGAGTCACAGATGGGTTACAGTATGCTAAGTTCCAATGTTTTTCTGACTTGACTGGAACCTGCTTCTCTGTGAGGCTATTTTTATAATGAGTTTTTGTACTTAATTTAACTGCGCCAGGGGCGGAGGGGCAGGGGTTTCGGAGGGGACTTTGTTCTTCTGTGTTTATTGTTAATGCTGTCCTCTGCCAGCCTGTCATTGTTCCAGTTGTTTGAGAGAAACACACACACACACACCCAGAACAAAGCAACTCACCTGTTGTCTGGGTTCTGAGTCACCTTCTACTGTCCCAATCACGGTCTCCGCAGCCTTATTCTAAAGCGTTGCCTTAGACTGTCTGACTGGACAAATAAACTCTTTGCCCTATGTTAACAGATGCATATTTTATTTTTTCTTTCCTCTTCATTATAGGGAATCTAAATGTTCAACTTTTTTTTTTCTCTCTCTCTCTCTCTGACTGTTCTTGGTGCTGGCCTCCCTTCCACAGCGATGATGCCTCCTAACATCGCTGCATGTATGAGAAATGAAAAGCTCGGGGAGGCTTGCTTCTACCTTATGGGCCATAATCAAACTACGGTTTGTAGCTCACTCCATACTAGGTGTTTCTGTGCTGTGGCCTAATTTCCTCATTGCTTCTGCTTAGCTCTGTTTTGATATGTCTGGCAGTCGTTCTGAGCACCCTGCCTTCTTTCAATTGTAAGTACCCCACTGCCCTCACCAAAGGTTGCTCCCCCTTGTCTCAGGTGTGAGAACGCCAAGTTAGATCTCCCCACCGATGTCAAGTGATTCTAGACAGAGTGGACGGTGCTCATAGAGCCTTCCCGCACACGCGGAGCTCTGCGTGCCGTAGGGCAGGTGTTCTCCACGGCTGGTTTCTCGTAAACTTTTCTTGGCACACAGCCATGCCCACAACTTTTCAGTGCTGCCAGTGGCTCCATAGTGCAAGGGCAAATGGAGGACGTGGGACCCAAGGTATTTTCTGCCTGGCCTGTCAGAACATTTTGATGACCCCACTTCCAAATTCCTGCCACCTTGTTCAGAGCCATTCTGGGTTTGGGGAGCCCCTTCATGGAACATGTTAATGGCTCACTAGAGACCTCCTTGCCCGTGAAAGGCCTCCCAAGCATCCCAGAGACTCCTGTCTCTGTTGCGCTGGTCTGCCCACCACCCTTCCGCACAGCATTCAAGCATCTGTAACTTCTGAGTTAACTCTCAACAAAACCCTGCTTTGCAAGGAGTTATAAATTCCAGTTGCTACCACAGCATCTGCTGCCTTTTCAGATCATAATAATAATGAGCAGGAGTGTTACGGGAGGCCTTGCTTTTAAATCTGCAAATATCTTGATGGTATAGAAGCAGTTCAGTGATCCCATAATTCCTAGATATCATTATGGCTGCTTTGCATACTTACGGAAAAGTATCTTTAAGCCTAAACTTTTATGCACCCCACTAATTTCCAGTATGTCCCTAACGCCCTCGGGCTCCTTTTATTGATTAGCAAACATTGCATGTTAAAAACTGCCCCCCTGGGGTCGGGGAGATGGCTCAGTAGAATAAGTGCTTCCCTGGCAAGCACAAGGGCCTGAGTTCGATCCCTGGTTCAGCCAAAAAAAAACCAACCTCCCCCCTTTTTTGATTTGACTCGAAAGTACCCAGAATAGGTGCAGAACACCCACAAAGGTGGGACACTCCTAATGACCCTCGGGTCCGGGTCACATTAGTCAGCATCTGGCCGGCATGTTGCCTCCAGAATCCCCTCTGCCCAGCACCCTACACTTTTTTAATGTGGCAGTCCAAGGCCAACCTGAACTACGTGTGAGAGCCTGCCCCCCAAAAGAGGTAGACTTCATAAATGATGAAATAAATCCCGAGTGCGAGGTGCAGCAGACTCTGCACCCCTGTGTGCCCCACTTGATCATTTCTGTCCCCTAAAGCTTCCCTCCTGCCCCTGCAAATCAGCGCCCTCCAGTGTTAGCCGGTGAACGTCCGCACTCGCGTGGGAAAGGCTGTCTCAGGGAGCGGAGGGGGCGGGCTGGGCGCTGAGGCCGGCGGTGAGAGGTGGGCGCTGCTGCCCGCTGAGCTCCTTGTGACCTGCGACGCGAGTCGCGAGCAGTGCAGGGGTCCGGCCGCTTCCGCGCCCGCACGCAGGGACACTCCGGGCCGCAACAGCTGGCTGTCTGTCTGTCTG